GTCCCCATCATCTGACTTCTTGAGAGACTGGCGGAGCTTTCTTTCTTCTGTTGATTTATTTTTGATTTGATAAAATTTATTCAGATAATTTTTTATGTGATTTTTCATTTTACCGGGAGACTGGAAGTATGTAACAAAAATGAAGTGAAAAGAAGAAGTGGAAGAAAAGAAAAAAAAGTGACTATGGCGGGTGCCAGGGGCTAGTCTTAGGCTCGGGGACGTTTAGAAATTCGGTGCAAGAGGGGGCTTCCATCTTGTGCTTCTTGCTTGGTAGGGATGTGTACAGGGGGTCTAATTACTCGGACTAATTTAACATTGAGGCACAGGCCATCGGCGGTAGCGCCGTCCATTTCCTCGACTGCGCAGACTGCGGAAACATAGGATGAAAACTCTATGGTAGCAGAGACGGTTGTGCTTTGCCCATCGTAGTGCTGTTTTAGGGAGCAGCTGAGTATATCGCCAAACTGACCAAAGGTGGTCATTACGTCCGCCAAACTGGTGCCTTCGACCAGTTGCGCTATTCGAATCCTTGTAGTCTGTAGATCTGTTGGAGTGATCCTATCGATGAGCGGCATTGCTTCGGATTTGGGGCTGTTAGTCGAGGCTGAAGATTCTCGGCTTCAGGAGAGATTGGTTTGTCTATGTGGTTCTCTAGAATGGGGGAAGGTATACCCATCTATATGCAAGGCGGGGGTTAGGTTCTTTGCTTGGGCTTGAAGCAAGGAGCGACCGAGTCTGACCAGAACAGCAAGACGGCCGTTTCAGAGCGGTCGGAATTGGATCGTGGTCGGAAGGGGACAAAAAGTTCCGAGTCCAACGGAAAAAAAAAGGAACAAATAGTAGAGAGGTGGGCCGAGTCCGTTTGCGTATGGTTCGGCCGGAGAAAGATACGTCTCCGACCATCGAAAAGAAGGGGAGAGCTGTGATGTTGGGGTAGAAGAACGGCAACACCAGGTTGCGAATCGACTGCAATCGGAGCCGATAGCAGGGGCGCGTGACGAGAACAAGCGGAAGGGGACAGCTGTTCCAATGCTCCGATTGCACAACCGGAGACAAGTCCTTATCAACCAGGTTTGGGCAGGAGACGTCCGTCTCATCTTTGTTTTAGCCTAACCGATTTGTCCTATCGAGCCCAAAATGGGGCCTTTTTCTTCCATTTGAACTGTATACGAGCGACACCCTTGTTCAAAAAGGAACCGCTACGTACCGTTTTGAGCAGTTGATTTGTTTTATCGAGCCCCGAATGGGACTTGTACCTAAGAGACAAGAAAGGAGCGGGAAGAGAAAAGAAGCAAGGAAGAGGAAAGAGACGGAGAGGACACGGCGAGCGACGTGGTACTGTAGCTACCCTGCTGAAGGCATAAAAGGAGGGGAGAGGAATCGGCCTCGTTTCTTTCTCATCATCCAGGTCAATAAGTCCTCTCCTTATATAAGTCAACCTCGATGTCTTTCAACGGCGAGTGGATACCTGGCGCTACCTTTTCTGGTCGCGCTTTTCCCGACGACGATACCAACACAGCCCGCATGAACGACGGTGATTCCATCGCCTCCAGCGGTGATTCCAGTATTTCCGACGTCGAAACGAATCTTGCTAACGATACTGAGACCAACGACGCTAATCCCGAGGTCGCTGTTCCGAACAACACCATTGTCTTTGCATCGGATGATTCTCCTCCCACTTATCAACTTGCGGCACTGCCCCTTGGTTCTCCTGAGAACCCAATCGAAATAGAGGATGGAGACGCGGGTAACCAGCCAGAAGATAATGAAGAGATAACCGATTATGAAAGATTGAACAGCCCAAGGTTCGATCCAGTCGAGATTGTTCCTTTTCAAGCGACGGTTGTTGACGAGGAAGATGTCCTTCGAGCTCGTGAGCGCATAAACCGATGGTTCAATAACCATATTAGACACAACTCGCAACGAGTTTTAAGAGGTCGATCCCGCCGTGCACGCGCCGCCGCTGGACCAGTAGAGCCGTATTGGACGGTCAATGAACTTATGGATTCTGTTTTAGAGGAGCTGGATGATATCTTGAATAATGCTTCCCGTGTTGAGTTGATCCACGTATAGAGAGTGAGCAGATATGTACTGAAATGAATAGAAAATTGTTAAATTTTTGGGCTAACCACCCTGACTTCTTTTTTTTTTTTTTTTTTTTTTTTTTTTTTTTTTGTAATTTTTAGCTATGAAGTAATGACAGACAGCAGTTGGGGAGCATTATAATGTACAGTGTGTTTATTTAAGGAGGGATACTTTCAGCAACGCTGATGAAATATTTTCACCTGCGGTGCTGCGTACCGTCTTTTTAATGGGGTCCCATCTAGTTCTTTGAGGACATAAGAGCCGGATTTTTCTTGAGGTATCACTCCGTAAGGGCCGTTCCAGCAATTTTCAAAGAGTTTTCCCCATTGGCTTTTGAGGGATCTATTGTAGACCAGTACTAACTCACCAGGACTAATGAGTCCCCGGTCCGCTTTTTGTTTGTTCCAGGATTCCACGGATTTTTCGCGTCTCTCCTTCAATTTCTTGTAAGCTTTTTGAAGAGTTTCCTCCCGCCTTTCAATTTGGTTAGCCCGTTCTGACAAGAGGTCCGCTGTACTTGTTACTTCCTCCCAGTCTGTGCCTAAAAATGTTTCCATTTCTAGATCAATAGGTAGAACTGCCGGTTGTCCAAATACTAGTTCGTAGGGCGTGTAGCCAGTTGTACGCTTGGTTGAAACCCTATCTGCAAATAAAACAAGTGGCAAAAAACTTCGCCATTTCTTTCCATTCGTCCCGCACATCTTGACTAGTGCATCTTTAAGTGGCTGGTGACCGCGTTCTACCATACCGTTGGCTTCTGGGTAGTAAGGGGTGGTTATCTTAACTGTGGATCCACCGCGGGCTATGGTCTCTTGGACGTCTTTTCCGAATTCAGGACCTCCGTCCATCACAACTGCACATGGCGCTCCGTAACGTAAGATCCAGTTTTCTTTGAACCAAGAAGCAACTTTTGCTGCCATAAGTTTTTCGAGGCCTACTGCTTCTACCCACCCGGACAGATCATCACGAGCTACGAGAAGGTATTTCCAGCTACCGGCTTTAATATGGACTGCATCCATGCTGACTCGTCCAAAGATAGTATTTTTACCAGTTGCGTGTTTGTGCTCGAGAGGTTTGACCAGGCTACGCTTTTGACAGGCCTCGCAAGATTGAACCCATGCGCCAATGTTCTTCTTCATGTTAGGCCACCAAAATCGTAACTTGCAGCGTCGATAAGTTTCTTCCACGCCTCGATGGCCTAATTCTTCGTGGAGCGTTTCCAGGACAAAGTCTTGATTTTTCTTGGAAGATATGACAAGCTGAGGAAATGGTGTGTTCCTCCTTTTCAATTTACCATCTGAAATAAAAAAAGTGGCTGATTTCTTCAAAATGGTTGCCCATTCTTCTTCGGTGCAGTCCTCGGGTCGATTTAAGGTGAACAAATATTCTTGGAGCTTGGCCCAAATTCCTTCTTGAAGAAACTGCGTGTTGGCCACCCCCAAATTCAAAAAATTGACCTCTTTCAAGCCAAATCCTGCGTGTGGTTTTCCCACCAGATTCGTCTTCGTCAAATTCGGTAGCAGTCGGTTCGTCGTCGTTGGGCGGGCGTCGAGAAAGACCATCTGGCATGGTAAATGTTTTTCCAGGAACATGTTTAAGGTCGAACGAAAACAGTTGGATAAAAGCTACCCAGCGGGTCATTGGCGCATTCGGAAGGGATGGAGAATTAATCATCTCGATGAGGCTTTTAGCATCGACTAATAGCTCGAAATGTTGACCCCAAAGTTGTGATTGTAATTTTTTTAGAACCTTGGCTACCCCGCAAAGTTCGAGTTTGGACTGAGAATATCGTGACTCCACTGGCGTAAAAACCACTGATTCGTAAAGCACCGGGCGGTCCCGGCCATCCACTTCTTGAGTGAGTACGGCTCCTGCAGCAATGTAACTGGAATCTACCGCAAGCTTAATTTTTCCTCCTTTGTCAGAGTAATCAATTTTCTTCAGTGTTATGTCCTGCCCCACGATTTTTTTCAGAGCGTCGAAAGCAGCTTGGCAGCCGTCCGTCCATTCCCATTCTGCGTCCTTTCGTGTGAGTTTTCGCAACGGAGCTGCCAGTTTGGAGAAGTCCTGGATAAACATTCGTACGTAGACACAAACTCCCAGGAAACCTCGAACTTCCGTGGTATTGGTTGGAGTCGGCCAAGTCAGCACTTTGTTAAGCTGTTTCTTTGCAATCCTGCGCCCCTCTTTACAGACTACATGGCCTACAAGTTCCAGAGCTGGGACACAGCAAGCAAACTTCTTTCCCGAGATGGTTAAGCCAGCTTCTTCAATTCGAAAGAGGACTCGTTCCAGAATGACGGCATATTCCCAAATAAAGCGGCGAATTCCGGGGTTTTCGGTCAACTTTTCTTGATTATAATCTGAGACAGGGCCTTTAATTCCGCCGTCGTCAATGAATATTCCCACGTTTTCCGGTATTTCTTCTTGAAGAATCCACATCATCTGGGATTGGTAAACCGCGACTGAGTTGGTGGCTCCCTGTGGTAATCTGGTAAGTTGGAAGCGGCCTAAAGGGGTTTCGAAGGTTGTTAAAGGTCGAGAGCTGACGTCTAATTCACGTTCGTCATAGCCGCCCATAATGTCACCAAGCCCGTAACAAGCTCGGCCGGTGAATGATTCAATCAAATCCTCTGGTGCGGGGGGCAATCCTGCGTCTTTAATTGTGACTTTATTTAATTTTTGAAGGTCGTGGACCACTCGGAGCTTTCCATCCTGTTTCTTGACGCAAAACACTGGACTTGAATAGCTGGAACAAGATTGCCCATAAGTCGTCGATCGTCTCTACACTCATGAATGGATCTCTGATGGCCTGGGCAATAGGAATTGGTCTTTGTTGCCACGGCTCATGGGCAATTACTGGGATGATGTAAGGTTTACCGTATGAATGTTTCAATAATCCCCTCTCTTCTTCTACAAAGGCCAAGGCACCTTCTCAAAGCTTGATGACGTGCTTGAGCAATTTTAACTCTTCATCTGAAAGCCAGCCGGTCGGTCCAAAATTTACCACTTTAAGGCGTTCCTCAGTTATTTTAGCAGTAGGCACGAATTCTGGGGGATAAGGCGTGAGTGGAGTAGTGTAAGGATCCCGAGATAGAACTGGAAAACTAAGTGGGGTATTGATATTTTGGGGCATAGGTTCGTTGACCGGTTTTACTTTCTTTGCTGCGGATTTATACTTGGCTGCGCAGACTAACACTCCATCGCTAAGTTGCATTTGTTTTTCGGAGACATTTTCTGATGATGCATCACTGGAGGCCGTAACCACGTTTGAAGTTGTAGTTACGTTCGTAGGAAAGGTTGTCTCATATTCTTGATTAGCCGGAGTAATAATAGGAACCAAGTAAACTCGTCCTTCGTCGTCTTTTATGGATAGACTCTCCCCGCCTTCTCCTGCGTACCGCATAGTTGCTGATACGTCGATTAGGAAGGGTTTACCTAAGATAGGTTGCACATCTCCGGTGGATACCCAGAAGTGGACTTTTCGAGAGATATTTCCAATTTTAACGCGTACAGATTCGGCTATCCCAAGGATTTCGTTCTTGTGACCGCCGATTCCTTTGAGGTTCATTTTCTTTTCCGTAACGATGAGGCCCAGGCGTACCGCAAGATCCTTCTGGAGCACGTTGTCCAGAAGGGGTTGGACCTCCTTACCGTTTATACCTACCTTTATGTGGCCCAACGGGCATGCGTAATGGGAACCTGCGTGGAGGCCTCCGTTTCTTCCTCTTCGTCGTCGTCTGAGTCCACTCCTCCGGCGTTAGTTACCTTTTCTGGTGGGCCGCCCTCGATTGGGACCTTTCGTCGTGAGATCTTCTTCTTGAAAGCTTTGGAGACGCCATTGGAGATCGCAAAAATTTCACCATAAGAGAGTTCCATTTTGCCTTCCAAGACCATTCTTTGGACGACTCGTTCTTTGGCTTTGGGAAATTCTTTAGACAAGGTCTTTTCCAAATAAGTTTTCTTGGGCACTTTTTCTTTTGCCTCTGGTGTGGTGACTTCTGGTTTCTTGAACTGAACTTTCTTTGGTACCTCTGCCGCCGCTTTTTCCAGATGCTCTTTGTACCCTGGGAATAGGTCGTGGTTGTCTTGTCGTGCCAGTTCGGTAATTTCTTCCTCGACATCCATTAAGTCTTCGCTATCCTTTCGAGTTTTCTTTGGGGCCGGAGTCTCAGAGACCTCTTTTCCGCTCCTCAACCGTTTGGCGGCGTCAACATCGTAAGAGCTAAGTTTTTCAGGGGTGCACTCTTCCAATTTACCGTAAGAAGTGCGGATTTCTGATGTCGGTTCCTGCTTTTTAATTTCGGTTCCCGGAGGAAGGTTGATGATTCCCGGGGTCTGTGATGGCGTGCAGTTCTTATCCACGACTTCTTTTATGGCGCGTGACCTGTCGGGCTGTACTATGGTTCCATTAGGAAGTTTGAGGTCCTTTCCTTCGCGGTAAACTTTTTTGTCGAATTCGTCCTGGGCAAATAAACTGCATCGATACACCGTGTGTTTATCCCCGAAGCAATAATGGCATTTTAAGGTCGACGGTGGTCTCTCGTATTGCGCCGGCCTGTAGGGTACGTGGCTGGCTGATATCACGGGGCCTTTCTGGACGTTCCATCCTGCTAAGGTCTTGGTTAACTCCTCGACAGCTGGATCCTTTCGTGGCGTATTTGCTGGGGCTCGTGGCGGCGCTGGTTGATTGGCGGCCGGTTGCTTTGCCGGGGGATCCTCTCCTTCTAAGATTGAGATGGTCTTGAGTTCACGACTGATATATTCCATAATAGTTAGGTACGGCGGCAAAATGTGGGATCCATCCACCGATAAGCGCATTTGGTTATCTCTGATAAGTTCCTTTGTGACTGAAACCTTAATTGGATGGACCAGGCAGTTTAATACGGCGTGTCGAATTTCCTCTGCGTTACCCATGTGTTGGCACCGGACGAGGTAAGCCACCAAGTTATCTATCTTGATACGGAAATTTTGGAACTCCCTTTGAGTCTTGATACCGGATGCGCGTGTCGTTGCTAGGAGCTGATCCAAATCGTTCCTCGTATGTTTCAGGAGCGGCATCATCTTACCCCAACGTAGCACCATCCGTTCTTTCAATTTTTCCCAGTCGTGGTTCTCCTTTTCGGCCATTTCCTGAACTTCTTTTACCAAAGTCTCACCTTCGAGGAAGAAAATTATCTGAAGCGCAATGTCGGATCCTAGGGCGCCATCTATCTGTGCGGCGTATTCCAGGCGCTTAATAAAATCGCTGATGTCCATGTTAGTACCGTTGAACATTAGTCCTTTAGATTGGGACTTAATCTTGACTGGTTTTTGTCCAAATGGCTCCGGGTTATACGCCGGCAGCACGACACGACTTTCCAAAAAATGAGGACTTGGTAGTATATTCCCTGCTTGGCCATGACTCGGGAAACCGTGACCGGGCAATCGAGATCCTGCAGAGTGCTCTGACAACGCCGGGTTCGCAGTTGGGCCATCTGAAGACGAATTTTCCGAGACGTTGTTTTGGTCGCGGAATGGTCCGGGGTTGAGAGGTAAGTTGTTGGATAATTGTCCAATATTGGACGAGTAGAGGTTTATAGGAACTGGCTGGTTACGGTAAGACATTTCTAGAAGCTATGAAGTAAATCTAATCTAATTTTTGTGTGTTCTTTTATGAGTTTTGAAGTGCGGAAAAAAAGGCGAGAGATAGTGATGATAGTAATGTAAGGAAAAGATTTTTTTTTAAGGGTTTTGTATCTTAAGATTGTAATGGATAACCAAAACGTGACTGTTTAATCTAGAGATCGTCAGGCCACTGTTGGGACACCACTTGTGGAACTACCCGGTGGGATCAGATAGAGCGTGGAAGGGTAAATACGCCGTGGATAAGGCTGCCCTCCGGTAAAAGGTGATAAGGTAGTAGACAAGGAGAGTTCAAATACTCTCTGAAGATGTGGCGGACAATTTCTGACTAGCAAGGTGTGATAATATTTTCTAAGTACTTTACCTGAGGACTTTACCTGAGGACTATGACTAAGGACAATAACTAACTAAGTGACCAGGCTGAGCACGTCAGGGAACTGATGAGGGAACAAATGATGAGGGGAAAACATGGCTCCTTATATACAAAATCTGGGGAGTGGCCAGCTTGTGGTTTGAGAAAAGGAACAAGTGAAAAATATCAAACTGAAACACCACGGCCCAGAAGGTGGCTGCTAAGACCAAAGAGGACACAATGACATAGCCTGCTTTCCCAAAAGGGTGCGTAAGTCTGAGACGCGCATAGCCACATGCAGGCGCATGCATAGAAGTAAGAGACTAATCCCCAAGTGGGTGCATTAGTGTGAAACAGAAAGATAAGAGAAAGAGGAGTGCATATGCAGCAGCTCCAGAAAGAGAAAGAATGAAACAAGAGAAAACAAGGAGGGTTCCTAATACCCTGGCTCTGTCTGAGGGGTGACTTTCTTCCCCCCACGTGTGGTCTGGGTGCCTTGAGATTTCTATCTTGAGGACCAAGGTGTTTGGGCCTTCCTGTCCTGATTGTACGGCGCATTGAGGCATTGATGTTTTGATTTGGCTTACCACAGCGTAAACATCCTCTGTGCCTTCGAGGCAAGCAAAGACAGTGGCCACACGTATGACGTATTGGAGTGCAGCAATAGTATGTGTCAGATTCGAAGGGGAGAAGAAGGAGCCGTCTGGTTTGATCATTGACAGGGCAATGAACTGCTCTAATGCTGACTGCACCTTTGAGCGTTTGAGGATGGAGGCTGAGAAAGAGGTGGAGTTCCAGAAGAGGAAGTTTAAGGCTCTGTCAAATTCGCCTTGAGCATCTGTCTTGTCACTCTGGATTGAGCTGAGACAAGCTGATGCCTTTTCTGCAAATTCAGACAAACGTCTATTACTGCCTGACCAGAAATGTGTTGCTAGCGGCTGGCCGGTCGTTTCCAGAGTGAAGACAATGAATTCTGCTGCAACAGATGCATATTGAACAGCAGTACTCCTCTGTTGGAGGGCTCGGATTGGTCTTCTTGAAGGAGGCTCATTGCTAAAACAAGAGAGTTAGTCAGAGGGGGATAAGTATATACAGTTGGGTAAGAGTGTGAGGCTTACACAGACTCTCTGAGTGCCTCCATTGTCACTGCATCATGAACCGAGGTGAGTTCTGTCATGCAGCCAATGAGCCACTTCTCCACGCAAGGTTTCCAGGTTGCTAGCAGGTTGGGATAATGGACTTTGGTGTGAAGCTCCTTTGTTGAACATTGGAGTAAGTTGGTGCAAGCATTGATGTGTGAATGTATCCCAGAAGAATTGAGAAAGTTGGAGACAAGGGCCGGATGGGCATCATCTGACGAGATTGTTACGGCCTGTTTGTGGCCCAGGACATCTAGCTTGTCGAGGGCTGAGGAGAGCTCATCCCAGGCCAAAAGGGCGGTGTTTGACTGACTCTCAGAGCGAGCTGCAGACGGAGCTGGTATGATTGCTGGATGCGGAGCCGAATATTCCACAGGAAAGTAACGTATGGTTGAGTTGCTGAGGTGTTGAACGTAGGTGCGTTGTGAATTGGAAGCCCATCCACCAGGGACTGTTGATGGAGATGTGAGTAATTGATGCAGGAAAATGGGCAAATAAATTAAGAGGAAATGCAGCTGACCATCTTTGTGAATATCAGAGAAATGATTGCTCATCGAGCTGTCCTTTTGGACTGCATGTCCACATATGGAGCCTCTGTGAGGGACCACGCAGATGATCCCTAGTTTGAGGTAGAGGCCCTCTACAGGCTTCCAGGGCTGGGATGCCTTTGGGGGGGTTCGTTTATTATCGAGAGGAACATTGACATTGATTGATTTGAAGGCTTGAATGATCGCATCTGGATTGATGTTGTTGATCTTGTGGGGGCTGCTCCTCAAGTGGCCAGCGACTTCCTTTGTTGGCACCCCGCAGTGGCAGTCGAGACAGACAAGGGACTTGGCATAAGTGTTGAATCCCAAGAATGGAAACTCCTTGGAGACTACAGTTGAAGTGAACAGTTTGAGCAAAGCTAAAATGATCTGAGATACACAGGCAAGGTGTGGGGCCACATACGAGTAATCTGATTCCCTGCTGGGATGAGGGTTGCCAAGCTACTGGGAGGCAGAGGCAACACTTTGGGTCTGTCGTTGAATGAATCGGGATTGCAATTTTTGACATGTTTTTGAAATGTTCCAGGAATCGGGGAAGACCAAGTACAATGCTTGGTTGGACAGTGAAATGCCCCATCTTGATTTCTATGAACATGGAAAGGAGCAGAAGAAGTGGCATAGGGAGTGCAGAGGGTTGAAAGTTGGTGCACCTCTCTTTGATGCTTCTTGAGAGACTTTTCGTCAGCACAGTATAGGACACAGCCAGGTTCGCTGCAGGAGATTTTTACGGTAGTAGGAGATGAAAGAATGGGATCAGACATGCTGAAGTCTGCTATGTATGTGTTAAGGAATAAGGATAAGACTGGGTAATGCTTTAGGCTAATAAGTTAAATGTATGTGGTGAGACTGTAGACAGAATTGTGTTCTCTGGCAGCAGACCCTCTTACCATGGATAGGTCTTTATATAGGGAATATGGCCCCTCAGCCC